AAAGTGGGGGCATCTCCCCCCCTCCATTCAGTGCCATGTCTATAGCTCAGATGCCATGGAGTGGAGCAGGGCCTGGACACCTGGGTTTCCTCCCCAGTCTGGGATCCTTGGCACCTGGGACTTCCCTGACCCCCCCTTACTCCCCCCGCTCCCAGCCTGGGATAGGGGCAGAACCTGGATGCCTGGGTTTCTTCCACAAGCTGACACTGGGCTTAGGAGCTCAGATGCCTGGATTCCCTCCCCAGCCTGGGACAGGAACCCAAATGCCTGGGTTCTGCCCCCAGTTTGAGACTGGGCTTGGGAGCCTGGACACCTGGGTTCTCTGCAGGAAAAAAGCCATGAGGAAGATGCTAGATTTTTTTTTGTAAGGAGAAAGAGCAATTAATTACTTAAATGAGCCAATTCTATTATAATGTTGTTGTTTTTTTTTCCAAAAATAGAATGAAAAGGGAACTTATTTTTAAAATTCAAAGCTTTGTTATTGGGGTGAGGTGTGGTGGTAGGTTCTCTTCAGGCTCTGGCAGAGGAGCAGATGAGATCAGGGCACTCCCGGTGCCTGGGTTCTTTTTTTGCTTGGGGGAGGCTGGACACCTACATTCACTCCTGGCTTTGGGAGGGGAAGAGTTTGAGACTACAGGAATGCAGACACCTAGGTTCTCCCCCCACCCCCCACTTGACTGCAGGGGGCAGGGGCTGGCTCTAGGGGGGGCCCCAGTTGGCCACATAGAACAACCTGGAATGTGGCTGGCTCCACATCCCATTCCCAGCCCAGCACCTGCCAGGACCCAGGTATGCAGAGGGCAAGGAACTCAGGCATTTGGGCAAAGGTGTGAAGGGACAGGGAGAGGAAGGGTAGCAAGGGTGAGGGGGGGCACCCTTAGGCACCTCCATCAGCTGATTTTTGTTGGGGGGTTTTTAATTGCTTAATGAAGGGGAAGAGAAAACCTCTGTTAATTAGCTCAATGATATGTAAATACATGCATCTCTGTTGCTTGGAAGCAATTTATTAAAACTAATGAATTTGTTAAAGGAGGTGAAGACACGAATAAAGAAGGGGCACATTTGTCCAGGCTCACTGAAGAACCCAGCTCATTGCTGCCTGTGTAATCATGACAGAAGGGTGGGGAGGGAACCCATGGAAGCATGTCCCTTCCTCATTGCACTGCTTCCTGCCTCTCCAATGGCAAGACTCCTCCCCCCCACCCCCAGCCCACCTACTCCTGTGGGTGTTAAATACCCAGCCAAAGGCCCTGCTGATGGGTAAATTACCCCTTGGGGATAGATTGGGGGTAAGGCCCACTCCACATATCCCCCAGAGTCAAAACCCACCCAACTATCCTCCATGGGGGCAAATACCCACTCCAACAACCCCCTGGGGCAAATACTCAAATGCCATCTGTGGCGGGCAAATACCCCCTTCTCTACATAAAGCAATAAATGCTGATGAGTGTCTAAGTTGCTCTGAGTCTGTGCATATGTTTTAAAGGGGCAGGAGGATAGGCCTAGATGCCCCAGTGCTCATCCTGGCTGGGAGATAGGTGTCTGAGGCCCCAGCATCGCTCAGGCCCTGAGTTCCCTACCAGGGCAAAGGGAACTTGGGTGTCCTGGGAGAAGATGAAGGGGGCGGGGGAGCAGGGGTGAGTCAAAGCCAGGGGATGCAACTATGTGAGGGTGACTAGGGATCTGTCCCAGTGGGAGGGGGAGGGGGAGATTCCAGGCCATGACTAGCTGAGATGAGAAATGAACATGGCTTTCTAGGCTCCCAGCTCTGCCCCTCCTCCAGAATAAGGGAGAGAACCCAGATGTCTGGGTCAGAGGCATGAGGCTCCCTGAGTCACTGTCCTCACCCAATAGCAAGAAAATAACCCAGGCATCAAAGCTGGGCCTAGCCAGGGAGTTACACTCCACGCCCCAGAGAACCTGTGTGTCCAGGCTCCCAGCCCCCTCCCCACTAAGAAAACCCAGGCAACTACCCTCCCCCTGCATACACAGCCCAGTTAGCACCTGGTTCCCATGTTCTTTATTGAAGCCAAAAGCATTGATGCTGTAAAAAAAAAAAGAATTCCAGGTGCGGAGGGCACAAGCCCACAGGGGAGAAGGGGATACCAGGCCCCCCCCCCCACAACACCTGTACAGAGTAGCTCTCCCCCCGCCAACTAAGAAAGGGGAGGGGTAAGGCTATGATAGATGGAGCTCGCCCAGAACCCAGAGGGGGGTAGTGATGGCATGGAGGAGGCAGGGTGTTCAGCAGGCCCACCCACAGCAGCAAGGGAGGTGCTCACTCCTCCTTCTTGTCCTTGGGTCCAGAGTGCTCAGCCTGGGGTGTAGGGGGGCAGATAGATAAGGGTCAGGGGGGACAATGCCTCTCATGCCTGTCACGCAGCCCACCCATTATTCTCACTTGCCAACATGCAGCCTGTACCAGTCCAGATTTGTTCCACTGCCCCCTCCCCCACCACAGTCTGCCTGGTGCTGCCCCACCCATGGGTGGCTCCAGGCGGGGACAGGGTCCAGGAGTCCAGCCAGGCACCACACCAGCCCCCTCCCCCACCCCACACGTAGCTTGGGTACAAGACACCAGGGAGGTGATAGGGAAGAGGGGGAAAGAGCCAGTAGTGTCCCTTACTCCTGGCATGCAGCCTCCCATGGCCCCACAATGGTCCTCAGCCCCCCAATTTCCCTGTGGTGCTCCACAGGCCTCCATCTCCTCCCCTCCCCCCAGGCCCAGCACCAGCTCAGGGCTCAGGTGACAGCTCAGGTTTCTACCCAAGTACTATAAATAACCCCGGCACAGCGCCTGGGGAGGAAGGGGACTGTGGGTCAGGAAGGGCAGTGCCTGGAGGGGGCAGGCCTCCACCTAACTCCACTCCCTTGGCTCTCAGGCACTCCAGGAACAACAGGACTGCTCTACCACACCCCTCTTCGCCTGGCCATGCTTTGCCCCTCCCCCCTTGGCCTTGCCCCTCACCTGCAGCTTGGCATGCTCCTCCAGCAGCCGGTCGTACTCCTTGGTCAGCCCCTCAGCCTGGCGCCGCATGGCCTGGACCTCATTCTCTGCCTTCTCCAGGGCTGGGGACAGGGCAGGGGGAAGACCCTATTAGCCAGGAACAGGGGGGCTCCAACAGATTCGTGGAGGAGCTGGGAGAGCCCCTTGCCCTGGCCTCAGACTTGAAGGGCAGCCCAGATGACCTGGGGGGAGGGGGGAAAAGTGTGTGTGGGGGGGAAGGAGAGTGGAAATGGAACTGCAGCTGGCTCCTAGATGGGAGACAAGGGCTGGGTATAACAAGTACCCTGGCACATGGCAGGCTCTGGGGTGGGACACATGAAGTTCTATGGGAGACCCAAGATGCAGTTGGGCTCTGGGGTGGGTGCTAGGGCCCTGCATGCTAGGGTGCATGTGTAACAGGGCCCTGAGAGGCAGCTGGCTCTAGGGAGAGACCCAGAGAGGCTGGTTCTGTGGGGCTGCTGACATGCAGTGGGCTCTGGGGTGCGTGCCAGGGCTGTGTAAAACTGGGGCTAAGCTGCAGATGACTCTGCAGTGCGCAGGCCCCATAGAATGGACTCACTGCGTTTGCTGGTTGCCAGCTCATCCTTGAGCTTCTGCACTTTGACCTTGAGAGTCTCATTCTCCTCCTGGGCCCCCACATCCTTGGGGGGCAGGTCAGCTACATCCACGCCGGCCAGCTTCAGATGCTGTGGGTAGTTGCCAAGGGGGTGAGAACCCAGGCACCTGGGTCCCACAGCCCCCACCCAGAGCTGGGGAGAGCCTATCCCCTCCTCCCCAGAGCTAGAGAAAACCCAGGTGTCCAGCCCCCTCTGGTGGTAGCCTGAAACAGTGCAGTCCTGCCCCATCTCCAGCCCCATCCACCTCCTTGAGACGGTCATTGTCCTCCATGTAGCGCTTGGCTGCTTCACTGGCCCCTTCTGCCTGCTTCCTGAAGGCCTCATTGGAGGCCTGGAGTGAGGCCTGCTGGGACAGCAGCGTCACCAAGCGCCGCAGTAGGCTGCAGAGAGACAAGGGTTAATGAGGGCTGGGTGGAGAGGTTGGGGATATCTGACTTTGAGGTGGGGCAGGAACTAGGTATAGCAGGGACCTCAGGATGCAGCTGGCTCTGGGGTGACACATTAAGGCAGTCTCTAAAGCAGGTGTGGGCAATTATTTTGGCTGGAGAGCCACTTAAAGAGTTTTGGTGAGCTGTGGAGGGCTGCAAGGGTAGCCCCGCCCCTTGACATGTGCCCTGCCCCCTGGTTGTCACTTGGGACTGGAAGTCTCTGTCCTAACCTTTAATCTTTGCCACCAGAAGTCCCTCCCCTTGCCCTGGAAGTATTCCTTTGGAGGGGGGAGGGGTTACCATCTTGAAACTGGGGGGGGGGGGA